CCTGAGATAACCCCAAAGCAGGAGGTTTATTTTGGTTCACAGTTTCAGAGGGATTTTTCCCACGGTCCATGGGCGCCATTGCTTTGGGGCCTGTGGTTTCAGTACATCGAGGCTGGAGCACGTGGTGGAGGAGGTTACTCACCTCACGGCACTGGGAAGTGAAGAAAAGGAGGAGCTGGGGTCTCATGATCCCCTTCAAGGGCACGCTCCCAGGGACCTAGCTTCCTCCTGTTGGGCCCCACCTCTTAAAGGTTCTCCCACCTCCCAACAGCACATGGACTGGAAACCAAGCCTTTAACACTTGGGCCTTTAGAGGATGCTTTCCCTAACCATAGCAGTTGTGTGCATAGGTGTAAACCTGAACCGTACCATCCTGAGGTTAATTCAGAAAGTGTGCAGAGCACCGTCATCTGTCACTATCAGCTAGACATTGCAGCTGAGGGACAGACCGGACACAAGTCTGGCTGCTCCAGCTATTTTGAGTACTGTTAAGGAAATAAAGCTGGGTAGTGGAAGAGAGCAGAAGAGTGAGGCTCCTTCTGGTCAGGTGGTCAGGGAGGGTCTCTGTGGAAATAAAAAGTGAGCAAAAGCCTCAGTGATATGGAGTGATCCTAACATAGACTGGGGGAAGACCACGTTCCAGGCAGAGGCAAAGCATATTCAAGGGTTTTGAGGTAGAACTGAGATGGGTGTGATAGGGGAGGAGAAGGGGGCCCGAGGCTGCAGCGTGGAGTATGGCATGGACCTGGGTATGCAGGAGCCAGAACATGCAAGGCTGTGGCTACAATAAGGAGTTTGAATTTTAATCTCTCTGTGATGGGAAGCCCTTGGAAAGTTTTAAGCAAGGGCATTTGAAGTGATTTCTGTTTTGAAAAGGTACCCTGGGTGCTCTTAAATATCAGAGCACAGCAATGTAACAGTCTCAAGGCAACATAAAATTAAATGCCATAGAAATACTTGAAGAAATAAGAAGTATTTTGTAATGCTGGGAGACATGGTGCATGTCTGTAATCTCTTAACTTGGGAGGCTGAGGTAGGAGGATTGCAAGTTCAAGGCCAGCTTTCAGCCATTTAACAAAGCGCTGAGCAACTTAGCGAGACCCTGTCTCAAAATTTTAAAAAAGCGGTGGTGGTGGTGGTGTGGGGGGGTGTCTAGGAATGTGGCTCAGTGGTAAATTGCCCCTTGGTTAAATCCTCAGTTTAAAAGAGAGAGGGTAGGGGGACTATTTTGTGATTAGACGAAAAATAACTCATTCATTGGGACTGGAGTGGACCCGGAAGAGTGCAGAGAGACCTCATCTGTCAGGGAAAGCGTTGTGATAAAGAGGTAGAAGCCCTGGTGGACTTATCACTTCGTGTCCCGGAACCATGATTTCTGGCTCTGTAAAACAGACATATTGAACTCTGCCATGAATCTCTTGGGGCTCCACAGATAGACTGTGTAGAAGTCTCCAGAAGATAGCTTTTTCTTACTTGGGTAAGTCTTAGGAGTTTCCTGGCACATACTCCAGCCATCTTTCCCTCCACGTGTGTGGCAGACCCCACGGGTTGATGGCCACCCCTCTCTGGCTGTCGCTGATGGAAACAGGCAGGGCAGTGGCACCAAAGGACAGGACCCTGGTTCAGAGGTAGCACTCTCTACCCCCAGTGCAAGGTGGATTCTCTAATCTTCAGGGGTCCTGCCACATGCACTGGGTCGTTTGGAAGCAGTCATTTTCCATTAGTGGCAATGGCTGCCTTTGTCTTTCCTCCCGTGATCCTTACTCCAGACCTACTGTCCACCTTGATCATGGGCCCTGCCAACAACTGGCCTGACTGTAGCGCCACCACATCATATTTAGGAGAGAGTGTGGTTGGGGGACATCTCCCGAAGCCTGCTGGGCATCTTTCCCTGGGCCAGCCTATCTCGGGGTGGTGCTGGGAGGACTCTGCGGGATCACCTTCTTCTTCTCCAGGGCAGCCTGGGCTCTTGGATGATGGACGTGCAGCAGCAGCAGTGCCTCTGAGCTTTCTTTTCTCAAGGTCTCTGTGCAGTACAAACCTCCTAACTCCACCCCAGTCAGCTTGGGAGCAGGAGAATGGTGGTCCCCTCCTGTAGGGTGCAGGGAGCTGTCAGCCTGGAGGTAGACCTGGGGCTGAGGGGGTAAGATTTGTAGAACATTTCAACCTGACCATAAACCCCCCAAAATGATCTCTTCCTTTCTTCTTATCCTAATTAGAATCAAATACTTTTTTAATCTTAGTTTTTTTTTTTTGGTGGTAAGTCAGTAGAACCTTCCACAGAATGTTCCATTTGCTGCTGACCTATGGAGTGGCATGGAAGGACACCAGTGGAATGGCTCTCCAGGTCCTTCCATGGACCTCCCCTAGGGAAAGGATTGGCTCAGCTTTGGGCAGTCTTCTGCCCTGGCCTCTTGACCTGGGATCTGAGTTCTATGAGCCAGTGAGGGGATTTGAGATCCCTTGGAAGTCATTCATGAAATTGGAGGTGTAGCTGCGTCTTTGTGGGGGATGCCGGGAGGAAATTCTGTTAGAGGCGGTGGCCCCAAGGCCTGCCACCGCCCTCTGCCCTGATGGAGCTCTCTCTTGTCTTGTTGCCTGGCAGGAGGGGCGGCTCTGGGTCTCCAGCTGGGTTGCAGGCTGTGCCTTCCCATCTGGGGGCAGGTTCAGTGAGATGGAAACACTCTGTGTGCTTCAGGTACATCCTGTTACACGGGCATTTGCCGTCACTCTGGGCAATCTGCTTGTAATCTGAGTATAAAATGGTTTCTGTGGGGAAAACAACCAACCAACTTGCCTTATCGACCCTTTTGTAAACTGATTGTTTAGAAAATGACACATGGATTATGATATCACTAGAAGTTCACTTATGGGAAATAATGTTCTTATTATTCAAAATAGCGATGACCTTGATCCCTCTACAAGTCCTGGGACAGGGCGTCTGAGCCTTAGGACAGTGGCCCCTCCTTGGTCTCAAAGGCAGAATTCCCACTGCTGAGTGGGGCCTGGGGCGTCCCTGTTCCTCTGGGCTGCTCTTGCTCTGCCTAATGGGGTCTGGGTGCTGCCCCTCCTACTCCCCTCCGCGGGTCCTGTCATCTGCCTCCTCCAGAAGTCTTCCCAAACCCTCTACTAATTACTTAATTCAGTATGTTCTTTTCTTGCCAACCAATAAATACTTATGTTTCTATTAAACGGTGACCCTTTTTGCTGTGGAGGTACAAGGTAGAAAACCCCCAGGCCCTGCCTTTTAGGTATCACAGTCTGGTAGGTGGAACCCTGCATGATGACAGTGTAATGCGTGTACAGCATGTGGCAGGGTCCAAGGAAGAAGTCTCCAGCTCCCCAGGGTGTAGGGGATGGGGACAGGAAGTGCGTTTTCTGGTTCATCTCTTGAAAGCGCTATTTCCCTCTCTACTAAAGACCATGTTCCTCTCTATCTTTAAACGGGAAGAGCCCAAGGAAGAGCCTCCCCTCTCCTCCACATTGCGGCCCAGCTGGAGTAAGGAGCTCCCTATGCAAGGGGCCTGTGTTTGGTGCTCTCTCTCCTTCCTGCCCACTGGGCCCTGTGGACTTCCAAGCTGAGGAGTTTGTGGTGTCACTCTGCCACATACCCCCTTGGGAAGAACCAACATATTGGTGTAGCTAAGAACTGCAGCTGCTGCCCAGGCTGGATTCCGTCCAGGTCAGTTTTCTTGACTGTGTCCAGTCCCCAGTGCTTTTTCCAGAGGAGGGGCTTGACGGCACTGTCTGGGAATTTGATGATCTGTTAGGTTTTATGTTACCAGTAAGTGGGAGTAGCTACTCTGAGGCCCCTTGTCCCTGGGAGGGGCCGGACAAGGATGGACTGAAGAATAGAATGGAAGGAGTAAGGGGGAAACTGACTCTCGTCGCAGTGACCTTGGAGGAGAAACAAGAACCTTCATCCCCGCTCAGGGCTCAATGGAGGCTGATTCTGTGGCTCAGGTGGCTCTTGGAAGGACGTGGGAGGTCTCTGATCATACAAGTCTGTCTTCCGTGCCTCTTGACTCTCTTTGTCCTAACAGTCAGAATTTCTGTGCTGTCAGCTCCCACATAGTAGCACACCCCAAGAAGGCTGAGTTACGTCTTGGCATCTGCTGAGCCTGGTGTATGCGGGGTGCCCATGCAGTTAGTTCCCCTCCAGAGCAGCCTGCGGCCTTGAGTCAGTCCCGATCGTCTCACCTCGTCACCCCTCCAGCACCGAAAGCCAGAGAGCACTCTTTCTATGAAAATGAAGAGTTTACCCCAACCCTGATGTCATCTGCACATAGTGCCTGTTTCCTTCCTATGTTATTCTTTATGACATCCGACTGCATTCATGTGGTTGTGAGAAAAGGGCACAGCTGTCTTTGTCCCAAGAAAATGCTATTCATTTGGAAACAGGAAGTCAAATCTTTTTGTCTGTTGCATCATAATCCCTCTCCTGTGGGGACAACTAGAACTTAATTTTCCCTGGGAAAAATTCACTTTTGCTTCTATGAGTTCTTATTCTTAACTCAGACCCAGACAGGATGATGGGAACAGGAGGCATGTGTTTCCCATGCCGTAGCCTCCAGCTGGGTTACTTGGATTTTCAGCCTGGCTCTATTACCTGTGGTTGTGTGTGCAGCTAAGGGCAGTCCCCACGCTCTTGGTGCCTCAGTTTTTCCATCTGTAAAATGGAGATCCTGTCAGTTCCTACCTGTAGGGCCAGTGTGAGGATATAAAACACTAGATCAGTGCCAGGCACACCGGGGCTGTATTCGTGTTGCAAGTGTTGTTATATAGTTGTCTCATTTTTGTCTCTTGGGCACCCTGCCATCCCAGCCCACCCCAATGGATTAGGCTGAAGAGCTCTTTTCTCTGAGCTGGCATCTGTCTTCTTTTCTCTCACGTACTCCAGATTCTGGGAACGGGGTCAGGCTGTTTTGGGGAGGCAGCACAGGGGACATCACCAGGGTCTTCGCGCCATGGAAATGGTTTCTCTTGCTCTCCCCCCGCAGGGTGTGGACACTGTAAGAAGATGAAGCCAGAGTTTGAGAGTGCAGCGGAAGTCCTCCATGGAGAAGCAGAAGTAAGCTTCTTCCCCTGACCCCTCCCCTTTCCCTTTGAAGAGTCACTGACACATAGAATCATTACAGCGACATCCCCTGCGTGCCCTGAAAGCAGCTCTCCCAGTCCCTGGAGGCCTGCAGTGCTTCTGTGTCCCTCGGTAGACACATCTTGGTTGGGACATGTGGGGTCCCCACCAGGGATGGAGGGGGACAGAAAGCCTATGGGGCCATGTTCCCATTACCTGTCCAGGTGACCTCTGCCTACTCCATCTTTTCTCTGGGACTTTGATATTGGGAGCTGGCCCTAGTCTGCCCAGCATGGTTAGTGGGGCAGTTTCAAAAACCTCCTCTCAGCCCCTGCCAGTGTTCAGCTGTTCCCTGGGATCTGTGGCTCCTGGGGACCAGGCACCCCAGTTAGACTTTGGCAGGACCAGGAGGGGTGTGGGGCCAGCATCTGGGCTCCTCTCTCCAGCAGCACCACGTCTGAGGCTGTAATGCATGGTTGGCCTTTCCCCCATCCCAGAGCTCTGGTGTCCTTGCAGCTGTCGATGCCACTGTCAACAAGGCCCTGGCAGAGAGATTCCACATCTCAGAGTTTCCCACGTTGAAGTATTTTAAGAATGGAGAGAAATATGCAGTGCCTGCGCTCAGAACAAAGAAGAAGTTTATTGAGTGGATGCAGAAGTGAGTTTTATGATCTTAATGGCACATCCTAACTGCTGGCTATCGGCCACTGGAGACTCCCTTGAAAAGATGAAGTAAACTCTGTGGCTCACAGTCCTTGGCCCAGGGCTCACAGGAGCCAAGACAGAGTTGACATCCTTGGTCCTAAGGCCACCTCTCTCACACTGACCTCATGGCAAGCCAGCAGGTTCCCAGCAGCCCCAGTGGATGCAGTTTCACCAGATCCACTGTTTCCTGTCCCCCTTGAGTCTCCCTAGCCCCACAGTTCATCATCTCTGTTGAGCTCCTCCCCTTTGAGTGAACGAAGGGAACACACGGCTCCTCACATCCAGAGCCGCCTTCATTCCACCCCAGGTTTGCTGGTGGTTGCTGGGCCTCCTACAGTGTCCACGGAGTATACTGCTGTAGTTTGGGGTTTAGTGTAAGCTTATGAAGAGCCCCCTTAGCCTGTGTGTTAGTTTACTAAGGTCACCAAAACAAAAAACATGAATTTGGAGGGGACACAGTTCAACTCACACAGCCTGCAAGTCCAGAAACCTACATAGCTTTGTGATTATTGACCCAAGACCCAGGGAGTTTAGAGCCCATGATGGTTGGAATTTCCTCCTCTGTGAGGGGACTAATTGGGCCCAGTGCATAGGTGCACCGAGACAGGGAGGAAGCCTCTAGCCATGCTTGAGTACAGGGCACAGTTGAGCGACCCTCTTCTGCCTGCCCCACCACACCCCTGCTGGATTCGAAGGTTCACACAGAGCTTGGGTATTTCAGGAGGTTTCCCCACTTCAGCATTTGGGGAAGATAAAGTTAATAGAAAACATTCTAGCCTTGGCCGAGGTCCCTAGTACACAGGGTAGTGATGCTCGTGTGCAAAGCACGATGAAAAGTCACAAAGCAATACTAGAACTGTGCGAAATAACAGCGCTTCAATTGAGGTACTTGGTCAGGACATTAGTCCTCCAACTTGATGTAAATTATTAGCATTCCGTGGTGAGAACTGCTTTTTTAAGGCTGAATTCTGGGACTCCCATTCCTGAAGCTTTGGTTCAAGAGGTGTGAATGGAACTCTCCACCACCATGGTGTCTGGGGGAAAGCAGCACACAGAACAGGAGCAGAGTTGGCATGAGCAGAAGACAACAGGCTAAGGGCCTGGGTCTGCCCCTCTCACTTTGTCCTGCTCGTCTACTTGGGCTGGATCCTAAGGGAAGGCAGGCCTGTGTTCAAGGGACCAGAGGGAGTGACTTGCCTCCAGAAGAGCTGGTGCTTGCTCCTCCTGAGCCTTCTGGTGCCTGGTATCTACGATTCATTCACACCCGCCATTCCAGCCATGCTCTGGGTGGCACTGAGGCATGGAAGATCAGGTCACAGGTCCTGGTGATGCTGAGGGATTCAGAGCGTTAATCATTGCTCATCAGTGCTCCAGAGTCCTGCACACAAGTGGTAAGCACAGGTGCCTCTGTCCTTCCTGTGCATAGTCCCCACCACTGAGAACATGAAAAGCATGGTCTTCATGGACTGTGAGACCTGCTCTCTGAATATGACCCTCAGCCATGTACTTGACCCCTCGAAGTCCGTTTCTCCGCTGTAAAGTGGAGACAGCACTTCACCCGTAGACATCTCTAGGGAATTAAGTGTGAAAAGTGCTTAGCATGATGCCTCTCGTGGAAATACTCAAAGGAGGTTGTTTTTATGACTGACTGGAGCTGTCAGGGCGGCTTTGACTGACAGTGACAAGCGATGATACCACTGAGCCTTTGTAGAAAGCTTTCCCATCTCTTTTTCTTTTGCCTTTTCACAGTGCTGGGGATCAAACCCAGGGTGCCACACTTGTAAGGCACGTACTGTGCCACATCTCCTGTCCCTTGCTTTTCTAACTCACACCTGTGTCATCACAAATCCTACTGAGGAATTTCTTTTTTTAATAAAGAGTTTTTATTCCTGTTTCATTAAAGAAGAGAAACTTGGGTGCAGAACCATGAAGGACCCTGTCCAGGGACGAATTGTAGTTCTTTCAGGCACATGGAAGGGAGCCTCCAGGTGGTACATGGTCAGCAGATGGCTCTCGGGTAGAGGATTGAGGCTTCTTACCCAGACGCAGGGAGAGCAGACGGTGCCAGGTGAGGTGCAAGGTGTCTGCCAGTGTCTGCACAGGTGGCCAAGCTGCAGGTGACTGAGACGTGCCTGTAGGCCGGCAGCCAAAAAAACCAATATTCAGGATAAGGGAAGAGCAGAAAGTTCAGGTTGGTGGTGTCATCCATGGAGCCAGGGAGCCTGAAGGACAAAGGGAGGAAGACAGGAAAGGGGGGAGGGACCAATCTTGGTCTCAAGCTCAGGAGTGCTGTGCCAACATGAGAAAGTTGGGGGAGGAAGACCAACTTGGAGATACAAAGGAGGAGCAGGGAAGAGTGAGATGTTCTAAGTCTTGGTGGGTTGGAAGTAATAGCGGGGCCTCTAACTGAAGTGGGTGAAAACCACCTGGAGCCAGGCATTAGGGCTTCAGTTACCCTCAACTGTGGGTGTCACTAAAGCCATGCAGAGGGATGACATCTTTTTTGAGAATTGCAAAGGCTTGGAATAGAATTGGAAGAAAGGGCTTTGTGCCAGGTGGGGGACACGGTTGCTTTTGGTGCAGAGAGGGCCTCAAAAAAAGTGAGTATGGTCAGAGTAGCTCCGTGCCTGGCTGGCTGTGCACCAAGCCTGGCAGTAGCTATGACGAGAGTGCAGGGGGAGGAGGAAGGGAAAGAGGGCTGTAGAGGAGGGGGAGCAAGAGCAGTAAAAGCTTTTAAATGACCCTGCAGCTCCCTGATAGTTGGCTTTACTGTAACAAATATCTGAGATCATCAACTTAGAAAGAGCAAAGGTTTATTTTGGCTCACAGTTTTGGAGGTTTCAGTTCGTGAACTTCAAACCCAGCAGTGACCTAAAACCTCCCACTAAGCCCCACCTATTAAAAGTTTCTGCCACTTCCAAATAATGTCATTCTTGGGAACTGTTACTTCCAACCCACCAAGACTTACTTACGTTACTCTTCCCTCCTCCTCCTTTGCACCTCCGAGTTGGTCTTCCTCCCCCAGCTTCTTTAACACATGGGCCTTTGGGGAACATTCCACAGCCAAATCACAGCAAAATTTCTGTATCCTCGTGTGAGGCAGAGTGGAGGGAACCAGCGGACAGGCATTTATTTACTGCCTATCACTTATTAGAGCTTCCAGGTTCTTAGTAAATGCCCATTGCTGCATCAAATAGGTGCTTTACATGAACTGTCTCTGCTCTTCATTGATAACTGCAGATGTAGGTGCCACTGCGTTCATTTAACAGAAAAGAAAATAGAGGCTCAGAGGGATTTAGTGACTTACCCAAGATCACACAGCAGGCTAGTAATAAATACAGTTTTGAACCTAGGCCCACCATACTTCTTGGCCTGTGCTAAGAACAAAAGCTTTGGAGAAGAAGATGGTTTAGGAGCCCCTAAGAAGTAGGAAGGAGGGCTGAGAAGAGGTTCTATACCCTTGGGGAGGGCTCATGGCCCATTTCCAAAGATGTGCCTGACCTAAAAGAGGAACAGATCTCCCACGGCTCCACAAATGGCTTCCCTCAGAAGGAATCTTTTTATGTGGACCTGAGAGAGTTTAAACGGAGGTTTTACAGTGAAATTTCAGAAGTAATGCAAAGGGAATTCATGTGTGTTCCTGTGGGGGTGGGAACACCTGTCAATCCCCAACTCCCTCCTCATAACTGCTCCCCCACCCCCGCTTCCTGCAGCCCCGAGGCCCCTCCACCCCCAGAGCCTACTTGGGAAGAGCAGCAGACAAGCGTGTTGCATCTGGTGGGGGACAACTTCCGGGACACCCTGAAGAGGAAGAAACACACCTTGGTCATGTTCTATGCTCCGTGTAAGTAGCTCATTCTCCTGAGGGGTGAGGTGAGAGGGGCCACTCCCCAAACCAAGAAGACATCTCCCACTACACCCCAGGGACCAGAACAACCACTTGTCAACTCTAGAAGCATCTCTACTAGGAGCCAGCCTCCTTGGTTTCAACCCCAGCTGAGAAGGCCTTAAATATTCAGGCTTTCCTGTTGTCAGCCCTGGGGGGGTCTCACCCTCATTTGGGGGGCACCTTTTTCAGTGTAAAGCCCTCTGCCTCTGTCTGGGCTGGGGCCCAGTCTCCTCCCATCCTGGGTTCTTTGTGCTGCCTGTCCTGGGCCCGCCACTTCCTTGCCGCCCCTCTTCTTCCTCCTCCTCCTCCTCCTCCTCCAGGCACTGTCTTTGCCTTTGGGACTTTGGAATCCCCTTCCCGTGACCTTCCCAGTGGGTCTGAGCCATTTGGGTTTGATTCTGTGGTGCAGGAACAGGCACAGTCCCATCCCCAGTCCCATGTGATTCTCATTTTAATCACAGCATAAGCTGAGGATGTGACAGGTCTGCTGCCGTGGGTGTCTGTGACCTCGGGTTTTTGTGTATTCCCATTTTGAAGTTGTTAATTGACACTTAGAAGGAAAGGTTCTTAGAATTTCCCACTGTTCTGTTGCCCTTCTCTCCCTCCCCCAGGTTACAGCTCAGCTTAATGGAGTGAGGATAATAAAAGCTGCTGTCTACGGAGAAGCCAGGCAGCTCAATCTAGTCATAAACCTGCTCAGTTGTAGCCGGCCCTCCTGTTTGCTCCCCTCCTGCCCCCGCTGTTCTAGTGGCAGTAATCTGTAATGTCTTCTCACTCTCGCTGGCTGGGAAGGGCCACTGCCTGGACCTGGCAGACCCCGGCCTCCGACCCCATCTCTCTGGTGGCCAATGTGTGTATGCTGGTGGCCTCCCTGCCCCTCAGCTTCTGCCTCTTGTCAGAGCTGGACTTGTTCCCCGAGTTCCTTATAGAACTTCTCACTGTCCTTAGAGTGGGCTTAGAAGCCTGACTGGATTTTGAGAACATCTTCCTTCAGGGCAAAAGAAGGCAGAGATGAGACCCAGGAGAGGTGTGCCCTGCTCAGGGTCTTGTGTCAAGTTAGTGGCAGGCCTTCCTCAGCCTGGGTGGCTCTCTGTCACAGGCACAATTCAGAAAGAGTTTTCTTAGCAAGTGAGCACTTGGCTACAGGAGTCCTTGACCCGCTACCGGGTGGACATCACAAAGTGCAGATTAAATGCTTTCTCCAGAGCGTTCAGGCCTCTGAGCTAGAGCCCTCTGACTAGAGGGCCCTCGTGACTGACACAAAGGCCCCACCAGATAAGGGAGCAAACAGGCTCTTAAATCTCCAGGAATTCTGAGGTAGTGACTCCTACCCTCCTGGACTGTAAAACTCACCGTCCTTTCTTCTTTGATCAAATAGTGGCTATGTTGGACAGTGTCCTGGCCCATGGTACAGGAAGCACCATGCATGTCCCTGCCATGCCTCAGGGGCTCCCGTCTACTCTGACAGTCCTTTTGGGGCCTTGTCGCTCAGTGACTCATTTTCTGGCAAAGGTTTAGCCCTTAGAGTTTTCTCATCTCTCTCTTTTGTTCTTTTCTATTTCCAAATATTTTTTAATTTTTTCAATTTGTATATGGACACAATGCCTTTATTTATATGGTGCTAGAATGGAACCCAGTGCCTCACAGGTACTAGGCAAGTGCTCTACCACTGAGCTACAAGTCCAGCCCCCCTATTTCCAAATCTTACCCCAGTATACCTGGGGGATACAATTTCATCAGTGTGGGGGTGGGGGTGGGGACAAGGGAAGACCACCCATGGACAAAGAAATATATTTTTTGATAATAAAAGATAATATGTACTTATGTACACTATGTACACTATAGTATACTTAAACTCATTTATATACAGAAGCTACCCGGCGTTGTGATGCACACGTGTAATCCCACTACTCCAAAGGCTGAGGCAGGGAAATTGAAAGTTCAGCCAGCTTGGGTAACTTAGCAAGACCCTGTCTCAAAATAAAATTTTGAAAAGGCTAGAGATGTAGCTCAGTGGTGGAGCACTTGCCTGGCATGTTTGAGGCCCTGGGCTCAGTCCCCAGAAGGGAGGGTCAGGGCAGACACAAAGAGAATTTAAACACTGCAGCATTGCAGAAAGGTCACGCAGTGCAGTCAAACACCTGATGAAAGTCAGAAGCAAAAGCTGGCCCTCACGTCCTGCTACCCCCCTCTCCTGCTCCCCCGTGTCTGCCTTCCCCACATCCCTCTCATCGCTTCACCCCCACCTCTTTAGGCCCCCCATTCCTGCTTCCCCATCTCCTCACACCCCCACTTCATTCCTACATTCCTGTGCCTCCCATGTCACCCCACTCCTCCTCCTCCTGCTGTGTCATTGCCCTGTACCATGTGTGGCCCAGTCATGGGGACAGCCCTTCTTAGGACAGTGTGGCCAGTCTCTGTGGGACTTTCCACCCCACTCTGACTCTTGACTCCTCTATCCCAACTCTGGAGGAGGCTTTTCCTGCTCCACAGGGTGGGGTGCCTTTTTTTAAAAGCCCCAATTTTTAAAAAGCATGCCTTCCTGATCCACCTGCCACCTCTTGGAAATGTCTCCGTGTGCTTTCCGAGAAAGACCTCTTGTTATTAACCAGCCATGGTCTTCCTTCTGGATAATGAGAAAATGAGATGCAACTGAGGCCATTAATCTGAGGCCCAGGTATTTTAAATTGATGGTACAGAAATGTGCACTAGTCTGACAGTTAACATTTATACTTTCAACAGCAAAGAGGTTAAAAAGTGAAAATAAAAAAAAAATTAAAAAAAAATAAAATTAAAAAAAAAAAATAGTGAAACCAGATTTTGAGGATGGGGTAGATTATTTTCAGCCAGCCTAATACGGTTAGTGGATGCGCAGGGGCCTGTAGTTGCCTTCAAGTTTGATAGATATTGTTAACCAATAGTTTGTGTTGTTTAAATGTTTAGAAAATCATATAATATCACTCCTTTATAGTGTGACATCTTCTTGCGTTTGAGCTCTTTATCCGTCTTTTAGGACAAATTAGTTAAGTGTTACTTGTAATTGTCATTTTAGGCAATTAAAACTCATCCATCTGGTATCCGCCATGTAGGCTGCACTAGGCACTTTTTCTCATTTAGTTCTGATATAACTCATAACCAGCCCAGGTCTCTTCTGCTCCTTCTGTGTCAGATGTTGGGGAAATCCCTCTGAGCCCCCTCCCCACCACCCCCAATGTTGTTCTGGCCCAGCCGGCCACTCCACCAGCCAGACCATATGGCCCACCCACCCACCTCAGAACACAGCTCAAGTGCTGATTAAATTCAGATTAAATTTGTAGCCTAGCCTTAATTTGGTTTCACAAAACCCTTTGAAATGCCAGTCATTATTATCTTAACTCTAAAAAGGAGAAAGCAGAAGAGCAAAGCTATTTCTGTTCCCCACCACGTCATTCTCTTCCCCAGGGCGGGGGACGTGCAGGCTGTTTGGCAGGAAGTTATGGCTACAGCCAGGTCTCCCCCTGGAGCATGTGGCCTCTCACACCTGTTTTGATCAGAATTAATTACCACAGTCAGGGTCAAAGCCATTCTGTCCTCTTGGCAGTTCTGTTCATCAGTATCTTGGGAATGGAAAGAGAGGAGGTGGGTTTGGGTTCTGATCTGTTCACACTGAGGGGAAGGCCAAAGCAGCCTGAAGCTTCTAGAGAAATGGCCACAAACAGGTCCTGCCCTGCACCCCGGGTGGAGGGCTCAGGATGATGCACAGACCAAGAGACAAGATCACCAGGGAAGGGCACGCACTAGCGGAACATCGAAGGCCCTCATCCATTTTGACAGGCCTTTTCCTGGAGACAGGAAGTGTCCAGGAGCTTGAGGACTACTGTCGACCCCCTGTAGTTCGTCTTCCATCCTAGCCTGTCTTGAGTCTGTCCTGGTTTCTAGGTCAAGGTGTAGGGCAAAGGGTGGGGCTTGCCAGGAGTCTAGAAGTTAGCAGTGGATCTTGAACCTTGGGAGCTCAGACTGGTTCAGACTGGTTCCCCTGTCTTTCCCAGTGCCACTTCATAATCATGAAGTGTAGATATTTTCTGTCATCCTGGGGCAGGAGAAGAATGTAACAGGCTCGGGAATCCTGAGCACACGTGCTTCTTCCTGAACCCAAAGCTCCCTCTGCTCCCTGGATCAGGTTCTTCCTAGTCCTGAGGGCAGCCTCTGTGGAAGAATCCTGGAGAATAAGGATTGAGGGGACGGTAGATGGGAGGTCCTGGGGCAGGAGCGCACTGATGCTTGTATCAGGGACTCCTGGAAAGCCCCCTGATCAAGCATGGGATGGTTTAGGTAGCAGGGTTGACACATGGACCCTGACGGTGGGGTGGGAGGATGTGGGACTCCTGGAAAAGCCTCTCTGGAGACTTTTGGAAGTGGCCCTGGCTCTGCAGTCTCAGTGTGTGACGATCTGTTCCCTCTCACACAGGGTGCCCACACTGTAAGAAGGTCATCCCATACTTTACTGCCACTGCTGATGCCTTCAAAGATGACCGAAAGGTAAGGATACCCCCTTCATCTCTTGTCCTATCTATCTTGTCTTTGCCCTACCACTGATCCCTACACCTTCTTCCCTACCCAGCCAGGTCGCTGTTTCTAAATAGGTGCAGTTTTGCCAGTTCCTTCGGGAACCAGGACATATTTATTTTCCTTCATAAGGCAGGACAGAGCAGGCTGGATTTGTGCTGCAGCATCCACCAAAAGGGATACACTGAAGCGTTACAGCGCTGACTTGGAGGAGGGGTGGTACAAAGGGTCATCTGTCTATTTTTTTAACGTTCAAACCTTTTTACAGTAGGGTTGTAGTCATGCATCACTTATATAATTAAAAACACAAATAAAAAAAACCCACAAAAGTCAAATGGAGGAGAGCCAGGCCATGCCAGTGGATCCTCATCCTTCCTGAGCGAGAGGCTCCTGCAGCCGCCAGCTGATGAAGCATAAAATTAACAAGCTGGACCTGCAGATTGGATTAGGATGCAGGCACCAGGCACAGCCCCCAGGCAACTCCAGCAACAAGACTGCCACTGGGAGAGGGCAGTTTGGGGCCCTTAGGGCAAGACAAGTCCCCAGAACTCGGGGAAGTTCCATGAGCCCCCATGTCTCTGCGTTCCCTCCTTTTTTGTGGTGATGGGATAGAGCCCATGGACTTGCTAGGCATGGGCTATGTCTCTGAACCGCCCCCCAACCCCCGGCCCAAGTTCTTGAGTTTCTTTCTCATCTTCCCAGTGAGCGGGCTGGCAGAGATGATTCTGAAGATTCTTCCCAGCCCTTGAACTCAGTCACAGCAACCTTACAACAAACAGATCTCAGAAGCACAAGGTTGTGGGGGAACCCATGCTCCCACACTCATACCCCAAATTGCTATTGCCTTATTTTCCCAGGCAGAATCTTTAGGCTGGGCCAGGACAGGGCGATGTCAGGAGTCACAAACAGCATACAGACCAAGCAGCCAGATTAGGGTTCAACTGAGGTGGGGAGAGGCACATGTGAAGCAGAGGTAGATTACTGTCCTAGGGCTGGTAGAGAGAGGTTTTGATCAAGGGCCAAAGACTGGCAGGCCTGCAAGTGCTCTCCAGGCCCATGGAGGCAAAAATGCAGTCCTGGAGAGAGTGGCCGAGATGAGTGTTGAGGACTTTCAGGGATAAAAAGCCAGAGAAAGACAGGCTGGGGAACATGGAGAGTGGGAACAAATTAGGGACCAGATTCCCACTTAGCCTCAGACCTTCAGGCTCTTCCCTGGAGTCAGGGAGTTCTACTGTCCCCCCATAAGTCCTGGCTGTGCCCTTGAGGCATCCCTCGTCCCACCAGGAGGGAGTATAAAGACCTGCTGTTTGTCCTGGATTGACAGAGGTATGGCAAGAAGGGGCGTCCCTTACCCTGCCTACTTCACCATCCCCACCCACTTGTGACACCCAGGCTCTGTGCATACCATGGGGGCTCCAGAGATGTCCAGCCAGCACAGCTGCCCCCTCCAGGACTGACGTAGCTGTCAACCCAGATCAGCTCTCATCACCCTTACTTGAACACTGCTCTGGGGCAGACAGAAGAACGGCTGGGTTGGTAATCCCCCTGCCCCACTTGCTGCTTAGGTCTCTACAGCCTCTAGGAGATCCGGGAAGGGATCCTGAGGCATCACTGATGAATGATCCTGGGCTGGCGTCCTCCAGGGGAGCATGGTGTCAGGGAGTAGGGTGCAGCTGAAGTGCCGGGAGGGTCAGGGAAACCCTAGAGGATGGCCTATATTGACATGACCCTCTCTACCCACTGGACCACTGCTGGGATCATCTGGGACCAACCTGTCCTGTGGCCTGACTCATGTCAGTATAGGTGGGTTTACCAAAACCACAGTGGGCAACCTAGAGCCAGCCTCCCTCTTCCTCATTACCCCTCTGCTGATACACAGGGTCCCCATTTTCCTTCATGCCTTCCTTCTCTTGGACACTGATAAACCTTTGCTTGACTGTCTTCAGATGGGCCAGTAATGTTACTGAACTTTTCTTGGGTTCATTCCTTCTGTCTGTCCTCTTCCCTCTGTCTCTCCTTCCATCTTCCTGTATTCCAAGCCAGGGATCACCGTCACTCACAGCAGCTGGCCCACCTGAGGTTCCTGGAGGCAGCACACAGTTACAGCAGTAACAGCAGCCCTCAGGGTCAGCATCTGGCCTGAGGGCTAAGGTGATGGTGCCCGCTCCAGGCGTGGTGTATGATTGTGCGATGCCATCCTGCAAATGTCAGATTGGAGGCTCTAGGGGAGGTTCTGGAAATTGGTGATTTTGGAAAACTGGTATCTGGGAACCACTGACCTGTCCACTCTCTCCTTTTAATCATGAGATAGCAAAGTTCAGAGAGGAGCTGTATCCCTTGCCTAAGGGTATCCAGGAAGTTTACTGACAGCCAGAATTGGGTCTCCAAGTCCCCATTCTTCCTGCCACCAGCTTGCTGCCTCTTCTTAGCTGGAATTGTATTTTTCCCCCCTACCCTGCAGCCAGTCCCAGTTCCTTCCCCAATCAATATGCAGTTGGTTCTTCACTTCCATTTTCATAGCCAAAGTCAATATTAGCTCCTGCAGAGATTTATTTTACTGAATCAATAAAGCTGTGTGAGGCAGCTCATATTTTAGCTGGGGAGCCTCTACCCGCTCCCAGGAGCTTACTTGGGGACTTTATCAGTTGACACGCTGTTGGAGAAAGGGCTGCAGACTGTTAGCCTTGGAACACATGGTGTTATTGAAGGTGCTTGGAGGACAAGGATCCATGGTGGGAGCTGGTGGGCCAGGGCAGGAGCCTGGGCTGGTTAGGAGGGGCTTGCCTTTCAGTACACTTAAAGGTGTACCCAGCCCAGGTGTGGGATGAGGCCAGCAAGAGTGTGAAAGTCACCTCGGGAGGAGGCCATAGGCAGCAGGCACCCCCTCTGTGAACGCCATCTCACTGCTGTAATCTTGCCGCATGGCATGGGCCCTCTTATCATAAGGCTGGCCCTCTGGCCATCAGGAGTAAAGAAAGCCTCCTGAGGGCAGGGACCTCAGTGGCCCTTGAATTCCCCACAGCCTTGACACCTTAGATCCCTGTAAACATTGACCAAATGAAGGAGCGGTTGCATGTCTGCTGGCACCTGAGTGCCGTTCTTCCACTAACAGCAGTGTGTCATGTAGTCCTCACAGTAGCTTAATGGACCAGGGATTATTACAGTCCTCAATTTATAGAGAAGATTGAAGCTCAAAGAGGTTAAATGACCAGCCCTCAGTTCCTCTGTAGGAAAGGAGCAGAGTCAGAATGGAATACACAGGCACATGGAATTTGAGCCTCCAGAAGTAGATCCCTACCTGCGACCCATGTATGTGCAGGGAATTTACTTGGGAGATGATCTCAGGAAGCCCCACAGGGGATGGAGGAAGAGCAGTGAAAGGAAAGAAGCCAAAGCAGGTGTGTAATAGGTAGATAACATGGAAGACCTCACCAGGAGACATGCCACTCAAAGGTTCAGAAAATCAGAGTACTTGTCCTTAACCGCCATCTTTCATTGGCCTCACATCCAGCTCCTTGGGGGCTGAGAAGGAGCTCCCAGCATGTGCTAGGCTGAGGGGACCTATCAAGACACTTGACACTGTACCCAGAAATTCACACCAACTACTAGAACAAACCCAGAAGTCACAGGTGTACACCGTGTTAGGTGATTGTCCAGATCCTGAATGGGTCCAGTGGAGCAGGCATTAGGTTAGTGAGCCAGGGAGCATGGAGAAGAGGTTTATTTGCTGCCTTCTTCCCAAAGAGTAAGCTGTCTGTCTTCTATAGAAAGCAAGTATGGATTCCCCGTTACAACTAGAAGTTATGTTCTGGGTATGCGGCTGGCAGCAAGTGTAAGGATTCAGAAGAGGTACACATTTTTAATTTAGTAGATTTATAAAATCATACAGTATGTTTCCAACAGCTCCGGGGCATGTATACAAATTAAATTCATAATTTAAAGCGGATGCAGGGAGAGCAGCAGCCTGGGGCCATGTTCATCAAACACTCTCACAGCCTAGCAGAGGACCTGCCACCCATGGCCAAGGGATGGACACTGAGGTCCCTTCGCTGCTGACTGTGTGGAGGCAGAGTCATGGACACACCTGTCCTGAGAAATGAAATCTGCAATTGGACAACCCAAAGAACATCTGCTTCACCTTTCTAAATAATTCAGAGAACACTTTAGAGGGTGAGCCGGGGTTCTTTGAAGGCTGTCAGGGCCAGCGGCCAGCCTGAGTGAAGCTGGCTCCACGCTGACTCTGGTGAAGGGTACAAGCGTCGCCAGAGGAGACAGTAGTGTCTCCACCCCAGCCTGTAGGAAGGCAGGGCAGGTGCCACTGAATCTTCTGATGCTTAAAGAAAAGTTGGGGGACTGAGGTTATGGCTCAGCAGTAAAGCGCTCGCCTCGCACATGCAAAGCCCTGGGTCAGATCCTCAGCACCACATATAAATAAATAAAATAAAGTTAAAAAAAAGAGAGAGAGAAGCTGGAAAGCCACATTTTTATATTAAATCTTCTGGCTTCTTTTTCTTTTGGCAGTTAATTCAAATTTATTTTCTTTTTAAATTCTATGTGGGCCAAATAGAACAGGACTGAGAGCCAGCTATGGATTGTGTGCAGAGAGTTTGCAAACTCCCTTCTAAAAAGTCTCACTGCGTGGGACGTTCCGTGGCTGAAGAGGCAGTAGGAAACGTGAGGTGAGGGAGGCAGGTGTGGCTTTCTGGTGGCTGGGGGGAAGGTCGCACCTCATTCCCCTCTCTGTCTGTCAGTCCTGTAGTTGACAGAAGCCTGCTCACCTGGACACAAAGTAAGTGACCAGAAGACGTGGCCATTGATGGCCTGCAGAGCTCTCCTACCTAAAAAGGGGGCCCCATCCTCATGTGAGTAATCAGCAGCCAAAGCACTATGAATCATGGTTAGTCAGCAATCTTAAGTAGACTCACTGAATCACGGACATCCTCAGAGTATTCTCTGGGCTCCAGAATGATCTCATTTGTTATGTGGCAGATGCTTAATGACTGGCCTTTGTTAAGGTCACCCTTGTACTTGTTTCTTTGCATTGCTATGACCAAAATACCAAAAAAGAACAACCTTAGAGAAGGAAAAGTTTATCTGGGGTTCATGGTTTCAATGGTTTCGGTTCATTGGTGGGTGATTCCATTGCTCTGAGCCCAAGGTGAGGTAGAACTTCGTGGCAGAAGGGTGTGGTAGAGGAATATTGGTCAATTATGGCTACCAGTGAAGCAGAGGGTTTCACCTCTGAATATTAACACCAGAGCTTGGGGGGACACCTCATGTCCAAACCATAACTCCTTGAAAAGTCTTGGCACATACAGGTCTTTAATACAAGTGGGCTGGTTAGAGGACCCCTCCCTTTGTCCTCATTGAATTTGCCTTTCCCACAATACTTCTGTATTGCATATTATCATTAATTGGCCCTTTTTCTTTCTTTTCCCATTTGTTACCTTCAACAGAAAAAAAAAAAAAAATCCTCCATTTCTGCTTTATACTCTCTTATTTTGAAAGATCAACAAAAAAAAAAGAGAAAGCTATCAGTGTGGAATTTGTTAGATAGGCAAGAAGAAGTCAGTGGCCAGTTTGAGAGCCTCTTTCTGAATAAAGACTCGATTGCCTTAGTCACCCTAAACTCCTTCCCAGCTTCTAGAATACGCCCTCCTGGCTTTCTCCACCTCCATCCTTCAGGCCTTGGCTCTCATGGTGAATGATACAGAGTGCCTTTGGTCCACTGGCACCTGGGCCACCTGCATATCATAGTTCAGAGTCACACCCTGTTGGGATTGTCTGTTCATCCGACTCCCTCTCCAGGTGCTGAGCCTCTGGGGACAGCCTCGGTATGGGTCTGGAGGACTGATTGCCGTGGCAACTGACACTCACCATTGTGCTGGGCCAGTTCCCGTGCGCGTCGACCTCCTTTGAACTCTCTTACTTAGTCTTCTGGTATCCCAATAACTTAGGTTTTATTACCCCATTTTACAACTGAGGAAACTGAGGCCCCAAAGCTAGGTCATTTTTTCTAAGTCTCTTTTTCCCCCAGTACTTGGAATATAGCACAGGGGTGCTGTACCACTCAGCTATAGCCTTAGCCTTTCTTTTTTTTTTCTTTTTCTTTTTTTTAAAATAGCACATTAAAGTTATACATAGTATCTAAAGTTCATTCCAACAGAATCATACATGCATAGAATCTGACCCACTCCGTTTCAGTCACTATTCTTGCCCCCACCCTGCCCCATCCCCCCATCCATTCCACTGATCTTTCCCTTGCTCATCCATTATCCTTCCTTGATTGGTGCTTTCCATACACACAGATAGGCATATTTGTATATGCACCTAACATGATTTTGTTAAATTCATTCCACCTTTCCTCTCCTTGCCTATCCCTCCTCCCTCCCTCTCAATCTTCATGTACTCTATGAGTCTTTCCTATACCTTCATGACACAGTCTTGCTGAGTTACTGAGGCTAGACTCAAACTTGGATCCTCCTGCCTCAGCCTCTTTGTTGGTTGGGATTATAAGTGTGCGCCATAACACCGGGCTTTCTAAATCTTAATGTTCAAGCAACCCAAGATTTGCACTTGGGAAATGACTTCCAAGCTCTTGCTCTTCATCTCTGTCCAGCACGCCGCATGCTGATCATCATTACTTCACCCCCTAGATTGCCTGTGCTGCTGTGGACTGCGTCAAAGACAAGAACCAGGACCTGTGTCAGCAGGAGGCCGTGAAGGCCTACCCCACTTTCCACTACTACCACTATGGGAAGTTTGCAGAAAAGTATGACAGCGATCGCACGGTGAGTTGGGGCAGGCTTCTGCCCAGAACTCTGCTGCTGAATCAGCCACTAAGAAGGCAGCAAAGCACAGCTTCTCAGGAACATCACAGCTGTAAGGCCCGGCACTGACAAGACGCAGGGCCTGGGACCAGACAGAGCTACACATTGCTGGAAGAGATCCAAGAGGCTGGCCTCAGAGGCCAAGCAGAGCCTCTCTGCCTATCCTGCCCACCCCTCTGTGAGCTGGTGGAACGATAGGGGAGGGAAGGGAACAGGCACTTTGGCCCAGGGTTTTAAGTCCCTTTCTCTCTCTTCTCCTTCCCTTCCCGACAGGAATTGGGATTTACCAATTACATCCGAAGCCTCCGGGAGGGAGACCTCGAAAAACTAGGGAAAAAGAAGGAGGAGTTGTGATTTCTGCCTCAGAGGAAGCTTTTCCACTACACTGTGAATGATACCCGTTTTGTCGTTCTTTCTGAATTTCAAAGTGTTCTGAAGACAAAGTTTTTTATAGCCACTTATGGCCTTTTGTACAATTTTGAAATAAAATTGAACCATTTATTTGATGGTGTGGTTTATTTTCACAGAGCCCTTACTAATAGGCTCACATGGAGATGGAGACTCACATTCTGCTTTCCTCCTGGGGAGGGAGAGTCGCTCTCCAGTGTCCTGTCTGCAGGGAGGGGGTTCCTGGAGACATGAGGCACTGGCGCCTGTCCGTCATTTGACAGTGGAACAGGAAGTGGACCACCAAATACCCTGCTGGGAAGAGACTAGTTGATGAGGTTAACACATGATGGTGACCAGGGGCTGAGGTGCTGAAGTAGCCAAAAACAGCCTTAGCTGCTTCTGGATCGTTGTGGTTTCAGTTTGGGCAACTTTTCTGGGGACTTATTTACATATGTCTTTCTCCAACTATTTCCGTCTTCCATCTCCTTTCCCTCCCTGCTCTTCTGCCAAAGAATATTAAGTTACCATTCAGAGGTGCATGCAGTGGCATATGGCATGGTGTGGGGACCTTCTTGATGGCTGATGGCTGTGCCCACTGTCTGAAAGGGAAGGCAAATTCTCCACGGGCAGATGTGTGGCCTGTGAGCCGGCGCCCACCCCGCACCACAGCTGCAGACCTCCACACCACGTCTTCCTCCACCACACCTCACTGCCTCCTGCCTGTGGGTATCTCTTTCCTGACCTATCTGTACCACTAGTCCTCTCATGTTCTGCAGCCATGTATGACACATCCAGCTCTGTGCCCCATGGTGCAGCCAGAGCCCCAAGCCCCTGTGACACCGTTTGCCCCTCAGTGCCATTTCTCCAGGGTTAGTAGGACAGTCTCTCACATGGGTTATTTTGACTTTGGTTTTGGTAGCCCTAGACTTGGATTCCTCAGTAGTTCAGAGAGAGCTGAACTGAGCGAGTTCATCCCAGCTCTGGGCAGCTACTACTACATACAGTGTTTGGTGGCCTTGTTGGAGTGCTGACCTTCAGGAACAGCCCTCCTTTCCTGGCCTGGCACCTTGCCCCTAGCCTTAGTCCTTCCTTCTCAGTAAAGGCCAGAGCCTCAGGATCTGCTCAGTAAAGTCCAGAGCCTCAGTTCCTCATGTCTGTGTTGGCTGTGGGGCCACTATGTTCAGCTTCATACAGTGACATCGAGGGCAGCCTTTCTTTTCCCCTAAGCACTCACTTATTTGGTAGTGGCTCCTGGACATCCTCAGGGTAAATGGTTATAAAAGAAAGAAGGGCCAGGGCTGTGGTGCATGTCTGTAATCCCAACAGGAAACTTAGGAGGCTGAGGCAGGAGGATCACAAGTTCAAAACCAGCCTCAGCCACTTAGTGAGGCCCTAAGCAACTTAGTAAGACCCTGTCTCAGAAAAATAAAAAGGGCTAAGGATGTGGCTCAGTGGTTAAATGCACCTGGCTTCAATCCCTGGTACCAAAAAATAAAAGGCAGCATACATTTAAACACATTCCTACTGAGAACATCCATAATGTCATACAAGGGGTCATTTAATCTTGACACAAGGAGCTATGGATCCATTCCTGCAAATCCCTCTTGAGAGCATGAATGTGGACATGAGTTTCCTTAATTAGAGGAACATGTTTGCTTATGTGTTAAATAAAAAAAGAAAAAATGGATTTTTGTTGTCATCATTTTTTTACAGCACCATGAAAATCACCTAACAAAGGTCACTTCCTTACTGAAGACCCCTGGTGCCCACCATCAAGGTGCAAGGCTTTCTGTTCATTCCGCATCTTTAAGACCAAGTTTCTGTGTGAGGACCCAAAAACACCACAAAATGGCCTCTTCACACCCCATCACTCGATTTGTTCACTATAAGGCCTTCATCCAAGTGTCATGTGTTTGCCTTGACATTGGGCATGACCTGAGCGAGTTCATCCCAGCTCTGCGCAGCTGCTACTGCAGACAGTGCTCCTTCCCTCACCCCATCTAATACACCCCAACACACACACACACACACACACACACACACACACCAGGCCCCTGTTGCCAGAGCTGAGTGCAGATTGAACCAACATCATAACATCTGGATTAATTCTGTTCCCAGTCACCATGCTTGACTTCTTTGGGATTCATTGATTTTCAGTGCATAGCCTCTCCCCAACTCCCCCTCGAGAACCTGTCATCACCCATCTGTCCCCTGGACCCTGCGAGTGTAGGCTGATTCTCTGTGGGAAGCTCGTGCCTTAGGGGAGAACTGATCTCCGTCTTCATTCTGGTGGGTTTGGTGTCATCTTGGTCTCTATTTCTCTCTTTGCGTTACTGTTTCTCTTTCAGGTCCCCGCTGTCTGCCTTCAAGTGCCAACTTGACTCTGCAACCCCTCACCTATAGCCCCCAGATTCCCTGTCACTCCCTAACTGGACCCTTCAGCAGGCCCTTCCCTTTCTGGAGGTGTTTGGCTTCCAGAAACTGCTCTGTGACAGGCACGGAAGGTGATGCTTCTGGGTTCAGAAACTGGTCAGCTCCACTTTGCCGAAGAAGATGTGGGATCTCCAAGGGCACTGAGGAAGATGGAGCCTGTGGTTCAGAGGAGCTGCATGACCTGCCCAGATGGCACAGAATGGAACAGGGTCAGCCCTGCTGTCTGGCAGCTCCTGGTTTGAGAGTGACTGGGCATCACTGGTCAGAACTAAGTTGTGGGCACGTGTGCTCTGTTAACCATTATTTGATTTGTTAAGATTTGATAATGAAATCCTTATTGATATTATGATATTAATTGATATTAATGATAGTCCTTAAGCTATGTGTGAAAACCAGATTACCCTATGGCCCAACAAATATATGCCATTCCCCAAATCCTTTAAATTTTCACACTGTGTTGCTCAGAACAGCAGTCATTAGCCACATAAGGCCAGCAGATACTTAAAAGGGCATGAGTGTATCTATGCCCTTTTTATTATAAAATACATATAATGTAAAATTTACCATTTTAACAGTTTTTAAGTTTATGATTCAGTGACACAAGGTATATTCCCATTGTTGTTCAACTATCATCACCAGAACTTGTCCATCAACCCAAACTGAAACCCTGTACCCACTAAACAATAACTCCTACTGTCCCCTCATCCCAGCCCTTGGTGACCACCATTCTACTTTCTGCTTATACAAAGTATTCCATTCTAGGAAACTCACCTAAGCAAAATCATACAACATTTATTCTTTTGTTTCTGGCTTATTTCACATAACACAGTGTTTTCAAGGATCATCCACATTGTAGTATGTGTTAGAATTTTGTTCCTTTTTAAGGCTGAGTAATATTACATTCTGTTGAATACCACATTTTGTTCACCCATTTATCTTCCAGTGGACATTGGGTTTATTTTTCACCATTTGGTTATTGTGAATAATGCTGCTATGAACTTAGGTATACAAATACATCTTTGATATCCTGCTTTCAATTGTTTTGAAAGTGGAATTACTGGATCATAGCAATTCTGTTGAATTTTTGAAGAACCACCATAGATAGCGTTTTCCACAGTGGCTGTACATTCTGCATTCCCACGAGCAGAGCACAAAGGTTCCAATAGCCCTACGTTCTCACCAACAGTTATTTTCTGGTTTGGTTTGGTTTGCTTTATAATTATAGCCATCCCAATCAGGGTGCCCTGGCACCTCACTGCTGTCTTGATTCGTACATCCTTAATGACAAGTGATGTTGAGCGTCTTTTTATGGGCTTATGGCCACTTGTATATCTTATTTGGAGAAATAAAATGTCTATTCAAGTCTTTTGCCCGTTTTTAATTGGATTTTTTTTTGTTTCCTTGTAGGAGTTCTTTGTATATTGTAGGTGTTAATCTTTTATTTAATATGTGATTTGTAAACACTTCCTCCCAATCTGTAGGTTGCCTTTTCAACCCCTTAATACCGTCCTTTAATGCTAAAAGTTTTCAATTTTGATAAGGCCTACTGTATTTTTCTTTTATTGCTAATGTTTTTGGTATTATATCCAAGAAATCATTGTAAACTTAACATCCTAAAGCTTCTCGCCTGTGTTTTCATCTAAGAGTTTTATAGTTTTAGTTCTTAAGTTTAGGTTTTTGATCCATTTTGATTTAATTTCTGTATAATAAAGTAAGGTAAAGGTTGAATTCCGTTATTATGCATGTGGATATAGAGTTTTCCCAGGATCATTTTTGAAAATTCTGTCTTTTCCTCATTGGATGGTCTTGGCATCCTCGTCAAAAACCACTTGATTGTATATGTAGGGGGTTATTTCTGGGTTTTCTATTTCTATTCCATTGTTCCATGTGTCTTATCTTTATACCAGTACCACCCAATTTTATTACCACAGTTTTGAAAGTTTTGAAATCAAGAAGTGTGAGTCCCTACTTTATCACTTGTAAGATCATTTTTGTTG